GACAGGAGCGCCAGACAGTGCCGCTGGAATCCCTCTCATGGTATCCTGGAATCTCATGGGATCCAGTAACCTTCGAGGGCGAACCATTAAAATAGGTCCCTGCTCCCTGCGGGGGGGAAGCGCCATTGCGAGGTTACATTTTATCAGGTAATGGTCTGACCATGACAAGGGGACTGACACAAGGTCAGTCACCATCAGACCACGCTTGCTACACTCGGTAGAAAAGACCAGATCAAGCATATGGCCACCCATGTGTGTGGGGCCGTTGACATGTTACATTTGTGTGTCCACAGTCGTCTGAGAAGATGGCACCTATAGATTTCCCAATGAGCTCTCTGTAAACAATTTTTTTATTTTAATTTCACAGTAGGCAGAGCTATTAGTATTAAAAGCCTAACAATACAGTCACAGTTGTCAACCACTGATACAGAAATTACCAATGTGACTTTAATTTTCCTGCAAGATATGCAAGACAGAGCAACCAATTCCTAGCACACCCACTACTTCCATCCGGCAATTGCACAACTCAAACCCAGTAGCTTTCCACCTCCCATAAATAATTTGGTTTGAGAATGCTTTTAAGGTTTGCTTTCAAAGCCAAAGCTGAAGTGGAGAAGCAAGTAGGCTAGGATGATTTGCATGGCTCTTCTCCAAATGTCAGCTACCACTGACGTAGCTTTTCTTGCTAGAAGTTGTTCTACCACACTGAGAGCACGGGGGGGAGGAGGGGTAAGAAAGCTGTGGCATCAATTAGAAAAGGTTTCTCCTACCTTCCCTGCACTATTTGAATCTCTCTTCTGAGACTGCTTTGTCCCTTCCTTTTTTGCTCTTGGGATTCATCCAAAATAGTCCTACATTTCAAGTCCATTCCCCAAAACAGGACTAAGTCTACATTTGGATATGTTCACTGTTCCATCTCTTGGCTTGATCTCTCCAAGCTCAGACTCCCTGTCACAACTCCTAGTTGTGACGTAGCCCTCTAAATTATTTTCCAGTTTGATTCTGGCAGAGGTCTGTTTCCCTCTCAATGCTCTTGGCCCCCATTATTATCTCATCACCTAGTAGATCATTACAAATCATGAGTTCCTTGGAATTTTTTTTGAGTTGCTTTTTTGGTTTTCATTAGTTGAGGTGCCCATTTCTTCTTCTTAACTAAAGGCTCAGAGGGTTCTGACTGGATATCAGGCTTTTGTCCAAGGTGAAAGGCACAAAGCAGGCTTTTTGGGCTGTCTTTGGCAGCTACTCACTTTCTGTGGAAGGCATGTTGGCATGATAACAGTCCCAGGTCATCTTTCACTTTAAAGTCTTCCAGGCAGACGGCACAGGTCTGCTGCAAGGAAAGAGGAGGGGAGAGAACAAGCATACATTACAGAACTGTATCATGCATGACCACCCACGAGCAAAAAGACGGATGTTCTGTGCAAGTCAGTGGATTAGATGGGAAAAGGTTTGAAAGAGAACTGATTCTCAGGAATCGAGGGCACCACTTAGTCTGTGTCTGCCAAGTCATTTGCCTCAATTCACATGGAACGGGGCTCAAGATGGACTCCAAAGGTCATTCTGCAAAATGTTCTTGGATGGCAGTGTTGGCAGTTAGGGCTTTGCTTTTGTTATGGTATTAATGAATGATTTTTGAGGGCCAGATTGTCATTTTGTGAATGGTCTGGCTGATGAAATTAAAGCACACACAAACACATAGACAGAAATAAAAAGTAACTCCTGGATTTATGAGATACCTGCTTTAATAAAGGTTTCCTTGACCTTAAAGACTCACTGAGGAATGGCACAGATCTCAGTTACATGGAAAGAATGGCATGCTACTTAGTTGTTCTTCAATTATTTTAGGCTTATAAATACCTCGACTGTTGAGGCCATCACCATTGAGCAATGAAATAGCAGGCAGGCACCATTTTTTTATCATGCTTTTAGGACCTCATGAGCAAAACTTTGTAATAAAGTTGCTACATTGCTATTTTCCTCCTCTTTCCAATTGCTATTTTCCTCCTCTTTCCCAATGCCCTTTTCTTTTGTATCTGTTTTTTTTTCCAGACTGCAAGCTTGGAGGCAGCTGCCATCTCCCTTCTGATATTTACAATGTCAGTCTTTCTGAAAAATGATCTGAACCACAGTCTTGTTCAGAACACTATTATATTGACAATATAGACTGTGTAGATTTCTGAAGTAATCATAGACAGTTGCCTATCAAGTCTATCCAGCTTAGTATTTTCTGCTCTGACCTGCAGCATCTCTCCAGTGTCTCAGGTTTAAATGGGTCTAATAATATGCCATCTGATTCATTTAAGCAGAAAAGCCAGAGACATGAACCTGTGACTTTCTGGATGTCAAAGAGGAGCAGATATTTACTGGCTTAAGTCCTGTTGTTTAGCAGGGTAGAGTCACAACTAGAAAAGGCCCATTTAATCAGTGGGAATTTAGTGAGTAAATTTCTCTGTAAGTTCCATTGATTCAAAAACGCTTGCTGTAGTTGTAACTTAATTTAAGCAACAGGATTTCAGCCATTGTATTGCTTGTACTATTTTTTTAAATTCACTTGGATGTGTTTGAACAAGTGATGTTTGTCTTATTCTCCCCTCCGTTTCTTATCTATAGAGAAAACACAAGGAAGGCCTGTTTGCTAAGTCTGTGTAAAAGCTAGGCTTTTTCCTATCCACCAGAGTGGATTCATTACTCACCCCATGTACATTTAGTTTTCTAGCATCACCTTTCAAAACTACCTGGGAGGAATAAAGGAAACAGAAGGAGGCAGATTAGGATCAGGGTACTGATACTGAACAATCAGGGCATGTAGTTTAATCCCGCTGGCCATTGCGCAGACAGATAGTGGCAGCTGTTGAACACTGAACATTTTGGTTTATTTAAAAAAAGCACATAACAGAGCTAGAGAGACTGAACTCATATCTTTAAACTCAGGGCAGTAACAGAGAATGTGTGTGACTGAGTCTGGTTCTAAACCACAGAAATTGCAGATTCTTTGTTCAAAAGGTACCCGGGCATATCGTCCTTTAAGCACCTCGGAAGGGAAAATGTTCAGCCGGGCTAATATAAAGGTCCTCCTGATAGAGGGGTTCACCAAGGACTGGAAATAAGAATATCCATAACCAAAGGAGGGAAAGATATGTGTGCTTGTCTCTTAGGTTCAATTATTTCAACATTTTCTGGCCCTCCTCATTTTCTCACAGGTTTCCTCCTTTATGACTATTCACAAAAAATAACAGCCTTAGTAGCCGAGTTTCTTGCAAAGGTTCTCTCCTCCCAGGTCTCTAAAAATTAACCAGACTACCCCAAAGTATCCCCTATTGTGTTTCTTGCTGTATTTTTTAGCTGTGTAACTATTATGTGTATCTCTATTTACTATTAATTTCCCAAGTGTATGTTTTAATTTTCCTTTGCCAATAAAGGTTACCGAATTGAATTGACTGAACTCAAACAATTTGAGTTTTCCCAATTAGCAAAGTTCCTTTTTTCATATTTCTTTCCTCTTCCCCAGTAGTTCATAGCCACAGTTTGGAGAAGGTGTTTTTTTTGTTACAAGTATCAGAATCTCTGAAATTGAGGATCCTGGGAGCTGTACTCCAACCAAATTTCCTTTCCTCAATCTACACACAGGTTTGACTCTCTGATTGTGTTGTTTGATCTTCTAGCTTTCAGGAACATTTCTGTAACCTGATACTTTGACTAAGACATATTGTAATAAGTGATGAACTGGTTGGTACACTATGTAAGCACAGGTTGGGAACTTGACTCCTGGACAGCTGCTGGCTAGTTTGTGGTGGACCATTAAGTACTTTCAAGTTGCAGGGACCCTTGTAATTTGGGGTGAGGGACTATGACACACACACCCAACTCCCATAATCACTCACATTGTCTATTCTGGCTACAAATGATTGAGTTTGAGTTTTATTAATACACAGCCATAGACCTGAAAATTCAAAAATAAAAACATTATATAAGATATACAGAATAAGTTGTTAGAACATATCAACAGTATAACAGTCATGTGGTTGTCTTAATACAACATTTTACGAATTCTTAAATTCACCAAGATCTACTTGGATCACCCGCATGAGTCAGGAGGTGAGGTTGAGGAGCCTGACGCCGAGGGAGGCCCAGAGGGAAAAGACACGAAGCCAGGCCTTCTCGGCAGTAGCTCCTCGCCTTTGGAACAACCTTCCTCCAGAAATTTGCGAGGCTCCAATGCTGGGTACTTTCAAATGCCAGCTAAAAACATGGATGTACATCCAGGCCTTCCCTCCTGTCAACTACTGATTTCTTTGCTTTGCTATTTATTATTTATTTATTCCTGCACTATTTGTTATTGCTGTATGCTAATGTTTTTATGTTTTTTAATTGTTTTTGATATTCTGTAAGCCGCCCAGAGTGGTAGAATATACCAGATGGGCGGGGTATAAATAAATAAATAAATACTGGTTCTCTCCAGACAGCAGAAACTTCAGGTAGTCTGTGGGAGGTATACTAGTACATTTGCACATTATTGGGTAGATGTAATGGATACGTTCAAAATTATATAAGCTACATTCTAGAATGGTGTGTGTCAACGACTCAGCTGTTTCTTCCCTACAGGGGCATATCCTTTCTCCATAAGGAATGTTATTAAAGTGCCCTTTTAACAAGGCTGAGGGAAAGCAATTAAACCCAGCACTTGACAAGACAAAATGATAACTTGGTACTGTGATTTGATATAGATAATTTGCTAAGTTGGGAAAGTTAAAATTTAAACCAAAGTACATTGGTGAGCAGGTCCTGTCTGCACATGCTAGTGAATACTGGAGGTCTATGTCTTTAATGCATTATACAAGCATTGACTTGATTCTGTCATAAGACTGACTCAGAAAGAAGTCCACAGAGAAGCCTAAAAGATGTAATTTGTCAGTAAATCCCTTATGCCATGAACTGGCAAAGACATCTTTTTGTAAATAATGTAAATACCCACTGGTTGTGGGAGCATATACCACATTCAACCAGAATCAGAATGCATACAGCCAAGCTTAACATCCACTGATTGAAGGCCAGCCTCTAAGACAGCTGAAGAGACAGATCTTGGCATAGTGAATAGGAGTCGCAGAGAGTTTGATAGAACACTTTCAATTGGGGGGTTGAAACCATTTATCCAAATCACAATACCATACAGGAGTTGTGCAAGAATTTTATACTTAACTATCTGTAGAGCAGCAGGGATGAACTGCCCAGCCTGGACATAGTGGTATCGTCTAAGAACTTTGCTTGTCTATGGTGAGACCAGGAGAGGGTACGTGAGAAGACAATTCCCAAGTATTTAAATATTTTGACTTGATCTATACACTGCCCCTCAATAACCCATTCTTCAACTTTACTATGCCTAGAGAAAAGCATTATTTTGGTTTTCTTGAAGTTAATTGTTAATAGGTTGTTCCTGCACGTACATCTGATTGAAGCTGCAGGCCATAAACATTTGAAGATAATACACAGTGTATGTACCCCCATGACTGACTATATACCTCTGCACTATTTATACAACCATTTCAGAGAGACAGAACTCTTGTGTAATAAACTATGGTTTACTGTCAGCGGCAAACATGATCAACATCTAGACACATAGGGAAGTATTTCAGACCCTTCCCATGCTTTTGTGATCTAATTCTAAACAATCCCTTTTATGGTACTTCAGGGGGGGAAATTAAAAGCCAACTTTTTATGCTTTTACCTCTTTGTATCCAAATCTTTCACTCTGTGCCTGATGTCGAAGTTTGCTGCAGATGGAAAGGGAAACTTTTAAAATTAGCTAAAGAAACACTAACATCAATATCAATACACAACAGCCTTTCAGAACCTGGTATCTTCAGATGTGCTGGCCTACTTTCAGTGGTGGGATTCAGACGGTTCACACCGGTTCCACAGAACCGGTACCTAATGTACTATGAGTTCTGCAGAACCATTTGTTGTCCTGCTGAATCCCAGCACTGCTCCCTCCCCCCACCCTCTCCCGTGCCTCGCGAGCAAAGTGTGCGAGAGTGAGTGCGAGTGTGAGTGAGCCCCATTGCGCAGCTTGGTCTGTGCACAAGCACCACCAGCGGAGGAGGACGGCTACCGAGAAACACGACCACCACCACCACCACCAAAGCACCACCACACTGGCACATTTGAGGGAGAGGAGCACTGTGGAGCGGCACACACTGAGAATGATGATGGTATGTGGAAGGAGAAGTGTGATCATGAGTTGCTCTGCATTTTATTTAAATGCTCAAATATTTTGGAAGCTAAGGCTGTAGCTTTCAAACTGTTTTACGGACATTGTGTGAGGTAGCAATACTGAAAGATCATTTGCGAGATCTGTCTGTTAACTAAAGCTTCCAATTAGTGCCATAATATTATGAAAAAGTTTGTTTGATTTTTGTGAAATGGCACATAATATATGCAGTAATTGTGCTGGGCTGACATATATGGTTTAATTAATGGTTTGCTGTATTGGTTTTGTGCATTTTTCAGAAGTTGCCTGGTATTTAAACCTCAATTGATCAAAAAAGTAACAGTGAGTCCACTGTCAGGCTCAAATGTATATCCCAACAAAGCCAAACTGATAAAATTGTTGGGTAAAATGATTAAGCATTACATCATGATCAATTTTTTAAAAACATGCCTATTTATATTATATAAAGTATATAAATATAATATAGTTGCATATTAGTCTTCGGGGTTAGTCATACAAAACAAAGTGCAAAAACCTATTTAAATAATAAATGGGTGTGCCACACTATGGTATTATGTGCCATTAAGATTCAAGTAATTACTGTGACACTAATTTAATAGTACAACAATAATTACCTGACCTGTG